ATTGCCTTATAGGGTGGAATTTCCCATAGTGGTATTGGATTCTCTTACTACGCTACTAGACGGCAATCAAAAATGTGTTCTTTCAACTTATAGCAATCCTTTTTATACAATTAATGCTCAGTAAAGTTATAAAAAATGTATTATAATTCTATTTGCCTCGTGAATACACTTTGAAATATAATACCTGATATTTAGCTTGTACTTTAACGTTTTCAAGCCAAGAAACGTCCGAGGTATTTCAGTTGTGAAAATCAATGGGGAACGTGACCTCAAAACCGCCTGTTGACCTATAGTTTAACGCAATGTCAGCGAAATCATGATCAATTTTCAGCGAAGTTTTTGTGAGTAGTACTAGCATCGATTCATGGCAATAATTATTCAGAAATACAAATACATTTGCTTATCTGTGGCAGCATTGCAAATATTCGCGGAAAGAAAACAAATGAACATTAAATTACTGCATGATATGAACACTGCTTGTTTTGATAGTGGCGTGGCGACACGATCATGTTTGTGAAATTGTCTAGTCGATAACATTGTGAGGAAATAATTAAACGAATAATTTAACCGCACAATATTATGTCACAAGTGATTTTATTTTATAGAATAAGGGTGATAAGCGAGCACACAGTCCACCTGATGGTTAGTGGCCCATAGACATCTACATCTATCCTCGTTTGTAAAATGCTAATGCATTATCAGCCGCGAAGACTAAGATGAAATGCCTCTTTTTAGAAAAAAAGGATATCCGATTGTACTCACAGAATACTAGCGAAAAATAGGAGCTAAATACTACTGTGTTTCATATGGTGAGTGTGTGGACAAACGTAAACCGTTCTTACTTGTAAAGAGGGATATCACTTAAGACATCATGGGCGGCAACGCAACAAAATGTGCTGATGGGCTACAGCATCCATATTCTTAGAGATGGACTGTGTAGTTGTTAGTCGCCGTAACTTCTCTTAAAGACATCATTATTCATTCATTACAACCTGTCAAAATTTGAACATAGACCTCCATAGATTCTTATATAGTGGGAATCCTAACATAGTTGCCACGCCTGACAGGTGGGTTGGCTCCTGCAGTTTTTTTATTATTCTGAGTTGTTATCAGTGGATGTCGCTACTCATCTTTTATTTCAGTTTTCCTCTATTGTCTCTCAAGATACCGATGGGATAATATGGCGAAGTGGATTCTCTTACGCGGCCACTACACGACATATTTATCATAAAAATTGTTACAAGTGAGATATGAACCTATAACTCAAAGGATCACTCAGCCATCAAGTCGCTAATGCTACAATAAAATATGAGGCACGTAATATTGTAACAGTATAGTATATTGTAGTAAAAATCAAGGTTTCGTTATTTCATTAAATTACACGTTAATCCCTCATAAAAGATAATATACACAGTGTACACAATACGAGAACAAGTTCAGAGCTAACATTAAGTACGACGTAATAACCCTAGGTGAAAATTAATTTAGCTCGGTATTTTGCATTGAACAATTGTGTGAATTTAGATGCCCCTTTATTTCTAACCGTACAAGTTGAAATTAATAGAACTTAAAGTTATACGTACTCGTATTTAAAAGACCCACGCTAGAACGTAATAAGGGTAAACAAGAATGGGTCGGCTTGACCGGAGAAGGACACCTTTGGCCGTATTCAGAGAAAATCTTATATATTATTTCTAAATATAACTCAAAATTATTTCTAAATATAGGTTATTTATAAATAATTTTGAGTTCAAACTAAAGCTTCGTATTGTTAAAATTTGTGTAAATACAATAGTATGATCTAGACTCAAGTATGGACATCATATAATATATAAGATTTTAGTCCTCTGGGGTCACAATGCATATGCATTTTGATTCTTTTTCGAGGAAAATATGTAGGTTGGTATAGGCCACTGCATTCACTTACTATTGAGTGTGTGTTCTTTTGTCACCCCTGTTTCTATAAAAATGTCAAATGTACTTTAGAGTAATAAATTCCAAAATGTGCAAACTAGAAATTAATACAGCATTTTATTTGCAGTCCATCCATATAAGGCTTCTGGCTTTCAAGAATGAATTTATTAATGTAAAAATTGGCTTAAAATTAAATAAATGAAATCTTGTGTTTACATATTATCGCCTTGCTGCTGTAGCAGAGTTAAACGCGCGGCACAAACTTCTGCCGTTTGGTGTAGAAACCCTTGAGCTGTGGGAACCTGACGTGGACACGACGTTTGCACAGATATATATCGTTATGTCTTGTGACCCAACATCTGGCAGATAGATTAATCAGCGGTTCAGCCTCGCAATACAAAGGAGCAACTCAGCCAGACTTCTGGGTACGCCACAAACAAACGGTGGTGGCTTAGCCAGTTTTTATTACTTAATTTACAAATTTACGTAATTTACAAAATCATATGTGTATAATTTTGTAAATTTAATTTTATATTGTATAATAATATAATTAAAAAAATGCTATTTAAAATAATAGATAACGACATAATCCCAATTTACATAACTACAGTATACATTATATATATTTATAATATACATAATTATGGTGTAAGTATATTTAATACAATTATATTTTATATATATAAATTATTATCCATCAATAATAACATTTTATATTTTGCGTAGTTTTCGACCATCACAAGGACTTTAAAAACATAAATTGAATAAAAAAATTGATTTTGACTTTGAACATTTCAGGAGAAAATCATAAAATTCAAGTACGTACGAGTACATACAAGCATGTAGCGTACACGCTTTATGAATAGACTGTGTAAGGTGGCTTGTTAGTGATGCCTCCACTTGTCCTACTTATGCGCGTTTGGTAAATGGATAAATGGATTCATGAAAACCTATGTATGTGGGGTATCTCGATGTCGTGTCATAAGTTTATTTAAGGTTTTTGTGATGATACTTTTAAAAAATATATATTAGACATGATGTGTTCATAAAGAAACAGACAACAAGTTCTGAAAATTATGGAAATGTTTTTAGTTACTTATTTTTACTCCCTTTCAATAATTTTTGTCACAAAAATGTATGATATGCAGACTCATGCAACTCACCCTTTTATTACACTCATAAGTTATTTAGATTTATCTACTATCAGATTTTACCCGACATAAAGCCAAAGAAGAAAAGCTTTTAAGTAAGCACTTTAATTAAACTTGCATATTATATCGTACCTGTCCTGGTATGAAAAATATACAGGAGAATTATTACGTAGTTTTTTCTTCATAATTCATTATAACTGTGCTCCTAGCGGAAAATATTTGTAAATCATGATACACTATTGAACAAATTAAAGCAATATGATGTCGCCATACCTTACAAGCAACCTTATAAATAATACATGTATGACCGGTTGCTATTTTTTTAGTTTATAGTTATCTCACAAAAAAAAAGAAAATAATAAAATACAAAATATTTTATTTATTTAGAAAGAGATATTTATTTGGCCATTTGTTACAAATTTAGGTGTGCACTGGCAACTAAACATAACATTACATGCAGCATAACTAATTTTATTTATACACGACAGAGACAAATTAACAGAAATCGTATAAAATGCAATCGTATAGAATGCAGATATGTGTTAAATAAATAATAAAAAAACGAACAGCCTACCTTAAAAACTTGTCTGGTGCAAATAGGACTCTCACTCTGTATAACAGGATATGTGTCATCCTAGCCTAATCCTAGATTTTCAGTGGCAACCTTATGATATAAAAGTCCAAACATAAACTTATTTGACGGCTCCGTGGCGCAGTGGCTTAGCAATGAGTTGCTGCGCAGGGGGCCGCGGGTTCGAATCCCGCACGGAACAAGTATTTGTATGGCCTACAAGTAATTATTCCGAGTCTGGATGTTTGTACTTGTGCAATTTGTGTTTGTAAACTGCCTCCACGATATAGGAGAAAATCCTAGTGTGGGGGTAACGTTATTTTTTTTAAATATTTAGATAGTATATTTAGTGGGACGTGTTCTTCTTCTTTACCATCAGTCCCAGTAGCGTATCTATACCGTCAGAGGCCCGTGGCAAATTCATCGGATGAGGCCCTCTGTCACTCAATAAGAAGCTCAACCAACGTTAAAAACTATCTTAATTTTATTTTATATTAAATCACTACGTACTATAGTAGTTCAGTTTCAGTACTTAAAAGGCTATTCTAATTAGTTGATCTTCTGTTAACTTTTAATTTAAAGAGCATACTGGACTGAATTACCCGTATTTCAGTAAAGCAGAACGTATTTATAACTAATTTGATCAAGATATATTATAATCAAGATTAGAAATTACTTAAAAAATGTTAGCACCCGAACTGAAGAAACAAACTTTAGTTTAATTCACAAAAGCTGCCGCTGTTTGTGACAGTCTAAATTGAGTTTCAAATTTTGCTGGAGAGAAATTATTCAAAGCATCAAGTTTATTACTAAACATTGAATGAATGAAACCTTGTCTCTGTGATCACTTGGTAAATCTATAAATAAAATAAAATAAAAATAAAATAAAATAGCTTTTATTGTTTCCTTACTTCACATTTCGCTTTTACATTTTGTTTAAGTAATACACAATCAGCAGTACATTTCTAATTTAGGTGCTTAAGACTAACATGCACAAAATTAATACTTATATGTTTAGTTTTAGCAAACAGTATAGGTGATGTTGTACAGTTTTAGTAGTTATGGCAAATGTATGATGGAACGTTAATGACAGTTCAATAAACACAAGTTGATTTAATAATCATTTACCAATTTATTAATTCTTACATCTTTTTGCTTCCAATTGTACGCATCTGTTTGCAAAATCATACTTTCTATGTCTAAATCTGTTCTACATTTGTCAACATTTGTAACATTTGTCTAACAATAGTTATACAATTTTATCATACCACATATGAAACATCTATACCCCCACTACTGTTGCCTTAGTGCTGAGTAATATGCTACAATTATTAAGACTATTATTCTATTCTATGTAAGGACCGCTAAGCGGTAAAAGCCTCCTCCAAGACTTTCCAATTGGCTCGGTCTCTAGCCAACCTTGTCCACACTCTCCCTGCTACTTTAACTATGGGATCGTCCCATCTTTTGAATGGTCGTCCTTTTTTTCTCTTCCTTCCCAGTGGGTACCAGTTAGTTGTTATTTTTGTCCATCTATCGTCCTTAAGTCTTTGAAGATGTCCTGCCCATTTCCATTTAGATTTAAGCAGAATCTTTTTTATATTCTTTGCTTGAGTGCGAAGTCTTATCTCTGAGTTTTTTATACGATCTTTTAGTTTGATCCCTAGATAGCTTCTCTCAATTGCTCTCTGTGTGGTTTCTATTCTGTTGAGTTGTTTCTTTGTAAGTGTCCATGTTTGACAGGCGTATGTCAAACATGGAGTTAGACATACTTCCATAGCTTTAGTTTTCAGTTTATTGGGGAGGGTACCCTTAAATATATCTCTCATACTCCAGTATTTTTTCCATGTGTTCGTTATTCTTCTATTGATCTCTTTGTCCATTCCATTGCTAAATGAGATTTGATGTCCAAGATAAGTGTACTCATCTACATATTCAATGTTTCTTGATTGCAGTGTGACTGGTAGTTTTGTTACATTTGTCATAACCTTAGTTTTTTCGATGTTGATTTCTAAGCCAACTGAGTTACTGTACTCATTGAGAGTTTCCAACATGTATTGTAGTTCTTTGTGATCTTCAGTCAGCAGCACCAGATCGTCCGCAAATCTCAGGTGCGTCAGATACTTACTGTAATGAGGGTACATTAAATATATAAGTTATTGATTGTAAAAGGCTTGTCGAACAGTCACGAATAAACCGTCAATCCGCTTACCCGTGTCTTATTTACTTATTTACGAAATACACTACAGTGGCGACGAGGATCAAGTCGTTTTTATTTTTTCGGTAAATTTACGTGGACGCATATTAAATATAATGTCGATCGGCAAAGTGAGTGAATTCAACGTCAAAACGGGAAACTGGACTTTATATGTTGAGAGACTAGAAATGTACCTTAAGGTAAATGCAGTGAAAAACGAAATGTGGTTGCCGACATTAATCGCCGGTATGGGAGACGAAGCGTACGAATTATTAAGTAATTTAACAAGTCCGATTAAACCGGGAGATAAATCGTATCAAGAAGTGGTAAAAATACTTCAGGAACATCTTCAACCGAAATCCTCGTTCATGGCGGAGCGATATCGTTTTCGACAAAGAAGACAGTTGAGCGGAGAAACGATTCCGCAGTATATAACCGAACTTAAGAAATTGTCGAAATACTGCGAGTTTCATTCAACTCTAGAGGACAATTTAAGGGATCAATTGGTGTGTGGGCTAAGAAGTGATGTCATCCGTCAAAGATTATTCGCAGAAGATAATCTGAAATATTCCGTAGCTGTGAGAATAGCTTGCGCTTTAGAGGCGGCGGAGCGGGATTCGGCCGCGGTGGAGCAGGCGGGTGACGGCGACGGGCTCGGCGGTAGCGGCGCGGACAGCGCCTTGCATGCGGTGACGTCATCGACAAGCCGCGCTCGAACGCGGGAGCAGGACAGCGCACCGAGGGCTTTTAAAGGTCGAGAACATGGCGGCGGCAATGCGCTATATTGTAGCGCGTGCGGGTCGAGGTACCACCGAAGTGATGATTGCCGCTATAAGAAATTCGTGTGTGGTAAATGCAAACAGAGCGGTCATCTACGCCGGGTATGTCCCAAACGAGGGGCGTACACGGGAAATGCGGGCTCCCGACGCCACATGTACCATGTGGAGGCGGCAGAGTGCGAGACACCGTCAGCGGACGACGAGCCACCATCCGTGGAAAGTCAAACGGAGTTACAGGAGGATCTACACCATCTATGTTTAAATAGCTATAAACCGGTGAGCCTAACATTATTATTAGACGGGTTTAAACTTAATATGGAAATTGATACCGGGTCGGCAGTGTCTTGTATAAGTAAAGCGACTTATAATAAATATTTTTACACTAGACCTATGGACAAGTTCGATCTGGTTCTAAAATTTTATGATGGAAGTCGAATCAAACCTTTAGGCATCATCAAGCCCGAAGTTAGATATGGAAATATAACAAAGCACTTAGAACTGTTTGTAATAGATGGGGGCACGACTTCATTGTTGGGTAGACAGTGGCTGTCGGAACTGCAGATTAAAATTCCGACATTCCACAGCATGGTGCTGGATGACCATTTTAGTAACAATCATTTGTCATTATTACTCGACAGATATAACAAGTTGTTTTCCGGCGGCTTGGGGCGGTTCGCGGGCGGCAAGGCGACGCTGCGAGTCCGGGAAGGGGCGACACCGGTGTTCTGCCGCGCACGACCTTTGCCCTACGCGCTCAAGGACCGCGTGGATGCTGAGCTGGATGCGATGCTTCGGGAGGGGGTTATTGAACCCGTGGAGAGCTCTGACTGGGCTACACCTCTGGTGCCGGTACGTAAGGCGGATGGAGGGCTCCGAATTTGTGCAGACTATAAAGTGACACTGAACCCCGTATTGCTGGTCGATAGATTTCCCTTGCCTAGGATTAATGATTTGTTAGTAGGTATGAATGGCGCTAAAATATTCTCTAAAATCGATCTGTCACAAGCCTACAATCAGATCGAACTAGATAACTCTAAAAACCTTACCGTTATAAATACACATAGGGGCTTATTTACGTATAACAGGCTAGTATATGGGTTGTCATCAAGTCCAGGAATTTTCCAGCGTATAATGTCAAATCTTTTTCACGATATCGAAAAGGTAGAAGTATTTTTAGACGATATAATAATAGGTTCTTCTAATGAAAGAGAGCATTTACAAATATTGGAGACGGTGCTTAGTAGATTACATAAAAACGGAATGAAGCTTAGGAAAGACAAATGTTTATTCATGGTGGACGAGGTCAAGTATTTAGGATATATTATTTCAAAAGATGGCATTAAAGTTGATCCTGACAAGGTAGCTGCTATAGTAAAAATTCCGCGCCCCAAGGACGTTTCGGACTTAAGATCATTTTTAGGATTAGTCAATTTTTACGCTAAGTTCATTAAAAATTTAAGTACTACCTTAGCCCCACTTTACGGCTTATTAAAAAAGGGCGTTACTTGGGACTGGGACAGAAGTTGCGAGGACTCTTTTAAAAAAATTAAAAAGGTCTTAACCATTGCGGAAGTATTATTGCATTACAATCCAATTACAATGAAATTAAAAAACAAACCCAGCGCGATCCGATTTTAGGTAGAATTATACTATACTTAAGAGAAGATTGGCCCATCGATAATGAGGTCAAATCATTGCAACCGTATTTTAACCGAAAAAAGGAACTATACGAAGAACTAGGGTGTATCATGTGGGGTCATAGAGTAGTCATACCGGAGAATTGCAGGGGTAGGGTGTTAAACGAACTCCACGAATGCCACATGGGAATCGTCAAAACGAAGGCGGTAGCTCGAAGCTATGTGTGGTGGCCGGGGATCGATGAGGCAATCGAAACGATGTGTCGAGCGTGCGTCGTGTGTGCGGCCGAGGCGGACGCGCCCCAACGGCACACTCCAAGCCCGTGGCCATGGCCGGCTAAGCCTTGGTCTCGTATACACATAGATTTTTTAGGGCCAATTTTCAATAAAATTTACTTGGTAATAATTGATGCCAGAACTAAATGGCTAGAGGTTTTTTATGTACCGAGTACAGCAGCTAGCCACACTATAGTTAAACTTTCCGAAGTTTTTGCTAGGTGGGGTCTACCTAAACAATTAGTATCAGACAATGGGCCGCCATTTATCAGTAGGGAATTTTCTCAGTTTTTAACAAATAATGGGATACAGCATGTTTTCACCGCACCGTACCACCCGGCTTCAAACGGTGCCGCGGAAAACGCAGTCCGCACTGTCAAGAAAGTTATTAAAAAGGCAGTGAGGGAAAATAAAGATATAAATTTATTTTTAAACACTTTCCTATTGCATTATCGAAATACCGAACATTGTACTACGGGCGAAAGTCCCGCTTCTCTCATGTTAGGAAGAAGATTACGTACTAAACTAGACGTACTTAGACCGGATATTGAGAATAAAATTATTAAAACTCAAATAAACCAGAAAGAGAACGCTCCCACTGGTGAACGTGGCCTGCAGCCGGGTGAGGATGTATGGCTTCGCCGATATCAGGGGAGTGACAAGTGGACAGCCGGACAAGTGACGCAACGTTTGGGCGTAACGGACTACAAAGTTTTAGACACTATAGGTAAGGAGTCACATAAGCATATAGACCAGCTAAAACGTAGAATTAGGAGTTCACTGATTTGTCCCCGTAGTAGTAATAGTCAGCCAAATTCGAGTTCCGAGTCGTTGTCTTGCACCGGTGCAGAGGAAATTAATGCGCCTAGAATAAACCCTGCCGTAAAAGACACCGGGAGGAAATCAAAAGCACCGGAGGGAACCGAAATAATAGATAAGAGTGATTGCTTAGATACGGCAAGGGAAACGTCAACACTTCGTGCTCCATCAGCTCATACGTCGCCTGTGCCGCCCGCAACGCCGCCCCAGGTCTTCTGGCCGGTACGCAAGTGCCGTTTGGATAACCCCCCAAGCTATAAAGAGTAGTTACCATTGCACTAAATTATTTTTATATACCTTTTTTTTTTTTAATATTTTCAAGATTTTTTTTCCTTTTCTGTATAACAGTATAGTATAAAATACTTATATATAACTAATTGTAAGTCTTAATTAAGGGGGGAGGATTGTAATGAGGGTACATTAAATATATAAGTGATTGATTGTAAAAGGCTTGTCGAACAGTCACGAATAAACCGTCAATCCGCTTACCCGTGTCTTATTTACTTATTTACGAAATACACTACACTTACCATGTAGTTTGAGTCCCATTTTGTTCCACTCAAGATTTCTAAATATGTGTTCGAGGACGGATATAAATATTTTTGGGGACAGTGGGTCGCCCTGCCTGACCCCCCTTCTAATACTGAAGAATTGTCCAGGTGAGTCAATTTTAACTCTCGCTTTGCTATTTTTATAAATCACTTTTAATATTTCTATGTAATCGTTGTTTACTCCCTGTTCCTTTAAAGCGCGCCATATTGAATCGTGACTTATGGAATCAAAGGCCTTAGAGTAGTCTATAAAACCAATATATAATGGCATTGAAAATTCATTATATTTTTCTATTATCATTTTCAGGGCGTGTATATGGTCTACTGTGGAGTAATCTTTCCTAAAGCCGGCTTGTTCTATCGGTTGGTTTTCATCAATCTTGGGAGTTATTCTGCGTAATAGTGTACTTGCAAATACCTTGTACAAGCATGACATTAGGCTGATCGGTCTGTAGTTTGATATTTGTTTGGGATCTCCTTTTTTATATAATAGAATAATATCTGAGGATGCCCACTGTGTAGGGATTGTTTTCTCTCTCATGACCCGGTTGAATATTTAAAAATATATACGTATGAATAAAATTGAAATGTCTGTCTTTGATATTGAAACAACTCGCTTTTATTAAACTCCGAGGGTTATTTGCATACTATTAAGACATAAATAACCATTTGTACAAGTTTTGTCTGTCTGTCCGTCTGTCCGTATGTTAGGGCTAATTTTTGGAATAGCTAAAGCGATTGTTGTGAAACTTTTAAACTCTTTTAACTGGAAAAGAGGAATTCCATCTTAGTCCTCACGGGTGACAACGCGTCTGTATTTTCATTCCTAATCCAAGATAGATGTAGATGTCTGTGGGCCACAGTAACCATTGTGTGCTCGTTTGTTACCCTTATCCTATAAAAAAAAACTTTACATACAGATTGGAGAGAAATACCAGACGGGATCTAGGCTATATTTTGTTAATAGATCCTACCTAAGTAAAGCCGGGGCGGGTCGCTAGCATAAAATAGTCATAGAATAAAAAGTGCTTTAGTTGTTGTTTGTCTATTATGTCTAGTAAAATTAAAGCCTGTATACGTTCCACTGCAGAGCGCGGCTCTCATATCTATGGAGGTAGGCTGTGAGCTCGCTTGTCACCCTTACTCTTCTTTATTAAAAAACCCTGCCATCCGTGACAATCAAAGCAAATCCTTCCTACACTCGGGAGAGGCCCATGTCTTTAACGGCTCACTATCACAGTGGCTAAGCGTTTGGTTGCGTCTCAGTGGACCGCAGCTTCGAATACCGCACGGAACTAAAGTTTGCGTAGCTTACAAATAATTCTTTCCAGTGAAATTTGTGACTGTAATATGCCTCTATGATACAGGAGAAAATCCTAGTATGTAGGTGACGTTTAAAAATTATTAAGAAGAAAATAAATATTTATAACCTAACATAAAATGTCACGCCTGTTAACCAGGGGGTAAGTAGAGACTACGAACTTCCATTTGGCACAATCCTGACACACATACAGATCTGACATCTTTCACCTTTCATATATATATATACCTACGCATACTTATTCGTCAGTAAAAGATACTATTAATTTGGCCCATATTCAATATATAGCCTGTTTAGTCCATGAACTTCCGTCTAGGGCGTCCCTAGCCGTATTACTTATAATTTTGTAAAAACAATGATTATTATACACAATATAAATCACATCATTTTTTCATACAAGAGGGTGCAAGAGAGCTTGCAGCTGTGAAATTGTCGACCGCCGCACATTAACAACTGCAACACCAGCGGAATTTCAGGTGCGTTACCGGCCCTTTTAAAAGGAGTAAGCTCGTTTGTTCATCAGCATTTTAGAGGCCAAATTAGCCTTTGAAATCTAAAAAAAACAGTCATTGTGATAATATATAATTGTCCAATTACCGTAAATGCTGCGTCATAGACGGTTTTAATATTCTCGAGCCAAAATTTGCAGCAATAAATGAACAATTTACTTTATTCAATTTGAAAATTCTTCAAATAATCTCCTAGACCCCTTATATGTAATATCTATAGAATAAAAAAAAGTTTTAGACTTAATTAAATTTTTTGATATTTTAGTTCATAAGGATTTATCTATCGATAACAATAAAAACTTTGTTTTGTGTCTTTGAGTTATGTCTTTGAGTTAGGTCAATAATAATGATAACAAGAAACAAGTCCTAATTTTTTTATTACAATCCCTAAGTCCAACTGAAAATCCGTAAGTCCTACTTAAAAATGCCGAAGACCAAAAGGTTTTGTTCTTAGTCCAACCATATTTTTAGTACTTTTCTTCTATTAACATTAAATATTTTAGATTATCAGAGGTTCTAAAACCATTCGTATCTTAAATTTTTACAATATCGTTTCAAGGACAGTAACAGAAAAAAGGACGTAGGGAATTCTTGAAATGTAAATATAATGACATTTACGCAATCATACGAAAAAAGTAGCCTCTTGTAAGTGCGAGGGAGCCCGAACCTACTTGCAAAGTTTATTGATCTATTTTTTTATGAGTTCCATAAGCCGCTAAGCCAGAAGAATTTCGCATAGTTTTAGAGAGCAAATAAGAAAAATTGTAGCTATACTAACAAATATGGACCTGAGTCTGAACATAAATGATTAATATTATAAAAATTTACAGCTTTTAAAGTGTGGTCCCTCAGTTTTCGCCGTCTATCGGCCAGAACTCGGAAAGTATCTTAAAAATAAATTTAATGTGTATACAGATAATTAGTAAAGAATTTGTAAAGATTATTTTACTAACTAACAAGTCACAAAGTGTTAAAGATAAAAGAAACAAATCAGAAAAAAATCTAAATTCACTTTTTCATAACCGTGTAGTGGTGGTGTAAGAATATCTACTACCCTGTTCCGTCCCGTGGGTGTTGTAAGAGGCGACAGAGGGTATCTGAAAGAGGTGATGGGCGGCAGCATCTTCCTGATAATAACTCAAAAAATTTAAAAAAAAAAACTGAAATCAAAATATTGTAGTTGTAGCATGAATGTGTCGGCTCGATTAAGAAAAGACCACGCTCTCACAGAATACCAGCGTATAATAACAGCATATCATCATCATCATCATCATCATTACAGTCCTTCACAAGTCCACTCCTGAACTTAGGCCAAGGAACGCCACAAAGCACGGTCCCGAGCCACCTGCATCCATCGACTTCCTGCATATCTTACCAGGTCGTCACTCCATCTAGTGGCGGGATGCTCTGCACTTCGCCTGCCGGTACGAGGCTGCCACTCAAGAACCTTTTTCCCGATCGGTTGTCGGTTCTTTGAGCTATATGGCCGGCCCAGTGCCACTTCAGCTTACTAATCCGTTGGGCT